ATCAGAGCCTAACTGTGAAACAGACCATCAGTTGCTCATCTGTAAGTTCAAGATGAAGTTAAAGAATATTGAAACATGACCTGGAGAACAAAATATGAATTTAGAGATCTTTTGAATGTTAATGTGTCAAATTAATTAATGTATTACATTATTAGGCTGCATTAATGTGTTACATTAATGATGGAAGTCTAGGTGAGTTGTGGAATGATATCAAGGCTATCATGTATGAAGAAAATAAGAGATCATTAAAAAGACAGGAAAAAAACAAAACACTAAAGTGAATCTCAAAAGGGACTCTGAAACTTATTGTGGGTATAGAGGAGCTAGAGTGAATTGGAAAAAAAAAAGATGAAATAAAGATTTGAATAAGTGATTTCAAAAGATTACTCTTGAAGACAAAGTAAAATATTATAATAAACTGTATAGATACTTGGAGCTAGAAGAAGACACTTGACATTTTTCGAGCTGAAAGAACTGAAGAAAAAATTTAAGCCATGAGTTGAATTATGAAGGATTCTATGGGCAAAATATTTAAAGATGCAGGAAGCATCAAAAGACAATGAAAAGAATACAGAGTCAGTATACTGCAAAGAATTGGTTGAGTTAAACCATTATAGGAGGAAGTATATGATTAAGAATGAGTGGTATTGATGAAAATGTCTAGGTTGAACTGAAAACACTGATGAAAAACAAGGTTCCAAGAATTGACAGAAAACCAGCTGAGATATTTTAGCAAAGAGATATAACACTGGAAGCACTCACTTGTCTATATCAAGTGTTGCTGGCCAACAGACTAGAAGAGAGGTATATTTGTTCCCATTCCAAAGAAAGTCCATTCAACAAAAATGCAAAAATAATGAAACAACATTGTACAATATCACATGTAAGCACAATTTTTCTGATGTGTCATGTGACAAAGAAGGCGTTTAAAGGTTCAGTCATAGCCATTTTCCCCTCTGCACAGGAGACTTGCTAAGTCAACAAGCCGGAATGTTTCTTCGATGCCAATAGGGCTGCAAATTAAGAGAGACTCAAAGGAAAAGCTCCACAAGCTAGTTCTAAAAATTAGTCAAAGAAAGCCTTGTGGATCTCAATCGTTTGATCCTCTATGTGTGGATGGCTCTGAGTTAGGCACCAAGTTAAAGGCAATTTAACAATAATTGTTACCAACACTGGAAATAAAGCTGTAGTCAAGATATTAGCAGTTTATATTCCAGTGAGTTGATCTGGGAATAGATTCCACCTGAGAACTCAATGTTAACCCAGTGTTGTCCTTCGCACTGGAAGAGCATTGTTTGGAGAAGAAGAGTCAAGAAACCTTTCATCCACACTTCCATAATGTGACAAATTATTCAGCAATTTCACCACAGCAGGTGTTGGGCAAGTTGGTGGTGCTGGAGGGTCCCTGTATATAGGCTAGACAGTCTATCAGAGGTGCTCAAACTTTTTAAACAGGGGGCCAGTTCACTGTCCCTCAGACCCATTGGAGAGCTGGACTATAGTTTTTAAAAAAACAAACTATGAACAAATTCCTATGCATACTGCACATAGCTTATTTTGAAGTGAAAAACCAAAATGGGGCAAAAACACCCAGCGGGCTGTATAAATGTCGTCGGCAGGCCTCATATGGCCCGCGAACCGTAGTTTGAGGATGTCTGGTAGGTAGTATTAGATTTCAGAGATCAATGGACAGATTGAATACGTTTGATTTCTCCGGTGGGAAGATTTCTCGGCAAGAAAAAAATTCATGCTGAAGCTTGGTTTGTGATCTAAGTGGGTTTTTATAAAGGATAGAAGAAGTTTCAGGCTTTACAGTAGCTGAACGCAGGCACCCTCAGGGGACTGCAAACCCACACACGGCAGCCTGAGGCCAGATAGACCACCGCACAGACGACTGAAAGGGGAGGAGCAGCCGAAGAGAAGGGCGATGGTCTCCAGCTTCCAGCCTTTCGGCTGGGAGGCGTGGTTGGCGGTACTTGTTGATTCCATTGGCTGAATTAAGCTCACCTGGTCTCGTTTGAGCCAACCCAGGTGTGCTGCTCACCTGGATCGGGCATGAATTGGCACATGCCCCTTAGCCTGCATTGGCTTCCAACCTCCTGTAGAGGGCTCCTCGGCAAGAAGAGGAACACCGCCCTATCCTGCTACCTAACGGTAGGTCTTAAGTAAAATTGGTATGTGTTTTATGGAGGAAGAAAGGTAGAACTGGGAATGTTTCACAGGGTAGCAGCCAAAGGCAGATCTGTAGATACCAGCGGTTTCCTGTGTAAGTGCCAGTCCAAGGCCTGGAGGCTCCTCACTCACCTCCTTTCTCATCTTTGCCTGGATAAGTGACCTTGTTGTTAGTTGCTACTGAATTGGCTCTGACTCAAAGTGACCTTATGTATAACATGATTAAATGTTGCCAATTTCTGTCCTACTCATATTCTTTGGTCTGTTTGAGCCCATTGTTTCAGCTGTGTCATTCTAACTCTTGTATTGTCCTCACTGATCCTCTACTTATCAAACCAGGTGTCCATTTCCAGCAATTGGTCTAGTTATGATTTCTCCCTCTCACTTCCCTCTCTGAAACGGTTTCATCTAGCTGTGGCTCCTTTTGTTTTTCTCCCTCTGTCCAGAATTCAGCGGTATTGTTGCTAGGTGCCATTGAGTTGGTTCTGACCCATAGTGACCCTATGCATAGCAGAATGAAATACTCTGGCCTGCACCATCCTTACAATCATAGTTGTTCCTATGCTTCAGCCCATTGTTGCAGCCATGGCGTCTGTCCATCTCGAGGGCCTGTTTTTCTTTCATTGTCCTCCTACCTTACCAAGCACGATGCCCCCATTCTCCAGGGACTGGGCTCTCCTCATCACATGTCCAAAAAAGGTAAGACAGAGTCTGACCATCCTTGCCTCTAAGGAACAGTTTGTCCATACTTCCTCAACTTTGTTATTTTAGCAATTCGTGGTACTTTCAATATTCTTCACCAGCACCACCACTCAAACACATCAATTCTTCTTCAACCTTCCTTTACACTGTTCTACTTTCCCAAGAATATGAGGCAAATAAAAATACTATGGCTTGGGTTAGGCACACCTTAGCCTTCAAAGTTACACCCTGCTTTTCAATACTACAAAGAGGTCTTGTGCAGCAGATTTACACAATGCAATCTCTCTTTTGATCTCTTGATGGCTCCTTCCCTGAGCATTGGTTGTGGATCCAAGCAGTAGGATCCCAATGGTGTCTGATTCACAACTCTGGACTCTTGGGATAGGCCTATCATGCACCTCACCTGTGCTGGAGAGGAAAAAGGAATTATACACAAGTATCTATATGCCATCTAATCTGTTGAGCTGAGGGGTATCTTGCATTTTGACTATTAGGACCTCATTCATTCACGTGGCACAGTCCCTCTTAACTATCTTTGTTCAGTTTGTACCCTACCTGAGTGTTCATTCTAAAGAAGGGAGAGGGCTAAAATCCAGCTCCCATTGTCTACTATATTAGAATCCCTTTTCTAAATTAAATTAAGATATCACCTAATTTAATTATAGGGCTTAAGAAACTACCCAACCAAAGAGAATCTACTTATCTCAGGCAAATCAATTATTCAGGTCTCATCTTCAACTGATCTTAATCTAGGAAGACCTCATTTATCCATAAATTATGCAGTGTGGTCTGTCTTGCAATTACTTTATGGAAATACTCATTTAATTATCAGTTTTCCCCATCTGCTAGCTGTGAAATCAGAGTGGCCATCTTGTTCACCACAGTATCCATACAACTCTGTCCATGTCTAGACATGGTAGCTGCTGTTGACAAAGTGGTTAGTGTAAAGCATACTAGGGCACAGGTACTTTTGATATTTTAATGTCAACTGATGTTAATTCCTGGCCCCAGAATAGCAGGAATCAGCACCGTCAAGGTCCCAAATAAGAAGCTTTCCCCCAATTGTCAATGGAAGTTTGTACTCAAGTTTTAGAGTCCCTTCTAGTTTTGAGTGGTATTTGACCTAGTGACACTGAGGGAGAAAGATGAGTCATTCTGCTCATATACATATTTACGGCCTCTAAAACCCACAGGGCAGTTATATTCTGTCCATATGGTTATCGAGTTAGAATTGACTCAATGCCAGTCAGTCTGGTTTGGGTTCAGTGTCAGTACAAGAGACATGTGCCTCATAAGCTGGCTCCATGGAGAAGAACTAGATGTCTTCAGACATATTCTCCATATTTGTCATCATAACACTTGATGATATTCAGCTTTAATTATAGCTGTGGGCACTGACATGTGTGATGTATTGCTAATCTTATGGCAAGTAGAAATAGAACCAAAATTCAGGTTCCAGTTTACTAATAACTCATACTCTCTCCAAGATGCCACATTGCCTCTGCCTCTTGTCAGGCCCTCCTCTATCCATTTTCCCTTTAGCCAGCCTTCAACCTGGCACCCATGGTTCACAATGACTCTTTAAGAAATGTAAGTTGCTAGGCATAGGGGGACATGGGCAGGATACAATACTCTGAACACAGATAACTGGGGCTTTGGCACTACATTCTCCTTTCCAACACTAATGAGATAGGATAGAATGTGTGAAAATGTTGATTTCTATGTCTCACCAAGCCTGAGAAACACTCCAGAGTAGAAAGTACCTTTCAAACAAACAGCTTGTGGGTGAATAGTTGGTACCCTTGAGCAGCAGCATCTCTTCTGGGGGAGAAGACCAGCTTACTTTAAGTGGGATATAGGATTAGCTTATCTTGGGAAAGATATCTAGGCAAACCAAGGACATCCAGAGAATTAGGAGTACTTTTTCCTGGTTAAGGAACAGAAGACGGGTGTTTGGGGGGCAGTGGATCATACCACCAGAACTCCTCCATGTGATTAGTATGATTGCTGTAGAGTACGTGTCATGAACCATCAGCAGCTAGGATTACACAAACCTTGTATATTGGATTTGAGAGAAAAGAAGTCTAAAGAATTCCAAACTGAAATAATAATTTCAAACCATTGGCTTATTTGAATACAAATATTTATTATGAAACTTATAAGTGCATATACATATTTAAGTGATATGACTTCATAGTAAAAGTTGTTCTCAAAAGTTATTACTATTTTCTTAAAAAGAGGGGGAAAAAAGCACTGTATATTGGAAGCTGCCTTCTCCTGGACCATTTCACATTATCTGGGAGATGCATTTTAAGCAATACAAAACACAGTGTTTATCACATTTAACACTGAACCCATCACTACACAAAGACTGAGAGTCCAGCAAGGTCACAGGATAATAAGTGCTCTATGTGGCTTTATCATCTAACTCTGCCAGTGGTCTGCTTAAATTTGGAGGTTCCTAGGGAGCATTTCCCAGGCCCAAGGCTCCCTCAGAAACAATAAGTGTAGGTGCATAAAGGGTGCATACTCAGTTAAGTAACACCCAGTTACTGTGGTCAGAAATTGACACCATGCAAGGGTCAAATCAGAATAGATAATGAGGCTTAGAAGGCTGTCTGGATTTTACATTTGAAAACTGTTAACTTTTTGCTATTCAGACCCACTGGTCAGGGCTCACGTCTCTATTCATTGGAAGTGACCTCTAATGAACTGGTCAGCAGAGGGCTCCTCTGGAAGCCTCCTTGCTGGTGTCTCAGCAGCTAGTTAAGGGAGACAGACAACAGTGCAAACAAGACATGGTACAGATTCAGATTTCACACACAGCATGTCTTTGAGCCCCAGTCCCAGTCCTACCACATATGCAAAGGCTGGCAGTTGAGGAGCACCCTGGAGGTGATTAGAGCCTGAGGCAACAAAGGGACCACAAAGGAAAGCCTGACTATACCAAGTCAACATTCACAGTTGCACTTGACTAGTATTTTAAAGCCAAAGGGAGATTAGGAGCACCTTTTCCTTTGCAAATGTGTATTGAAATGCAAATTTACTTTAGTAGGATGGTCTCCATTACGGAGCCAGCTTTCAGTAGAATTGTTTTACAAATCATTTTCCCAGCAGTTTCTATTCTTAGCCTCCACAAGAAGGAGAAATAGAATTGATTGTTAAAGGCTCTCAAGATTTATGGTCATGCTACCTACCTAAGGGGCCCCCATAAATCAGAATGAACTGTATGGCATCTGGTGTTATTTATGTATTTTGTTTGTTTCCTCAGAGCAAAAACTTTAGTGGTACTGAGTCTTGGTAAGTAGATTTCAAGGAAAGATACCCTATGATGGATTTTTTAAAATCTTGGATTACCTAGAAAATGACCTTTGACTGCAAATTCAATCATCTCATATACAATTCAAGAGCACAGTAGTGACCAGGCCATTTCAAAATAGGGTCTTGAAATCAGCCCTGTCCCTCTTAGAATGAATAAAGGCTTTTTTTACTCCATATTTTCAATGTAACCGTTGATTTAAGGCCATACATTTTTGTTGATGGATTTAATTTCTATCATGATGATTCAATTAAAAGTAACACTTATATGGAAATCTAATCCATGCTAGCTAATAACCTCACCAAACCCAAAATTTTACTACTGGCCAGTCAACTCATAGCAACCCTGTAGGATAGAGTAGAACTGCCCCACAGGGGTTCCAAAGCTGAAAACATTCATTGAAGCAGACTGAGGCAGCTTCCTGGCTATGAGCTCCTTGTGGGTTGGAATCACAGACTTTTAGGGCAGCAGCCAAGCACATTAATTAACCACTGTTTCCTCAGGGCTCCATAAGAACCTTAAAAAGACATACAAGTCAAAATTATTTCACTATAACTTATTTTCTACATGTAGTGTGCTGTCAGCTGATAAATTTCCTTGCTTTGCCCACTTCCCTGACTTTTAAAATTTTATCATTTTTTAAAAGGAGTACCATATCAGTGATATCAAATTAAAAACCAAATCAAAAATTTAAATTCTGAAGTGCCTATATTTTAACTTCTTTAAAAATTAAAGATTTAATGCAACTCTATAAACTGCCCTCACTCAAAACAAAAACAAAAAAAACTCTAAATTTAAGACTTTCAAATGAATTTCTTGAATCATTTTCTTAGAGGAATGCCCTATGGACATGACAGACAGTCCTCCTAGACGTAGCTGACATGGCATCCCAGTAAGTCCAGAGAGCTTTTAGAGGATTAAATATGGAATTTACATATAATGAAAAATGAGGTTCTATTTTCATTGGAAATAGCTGTTTAAGAACCAAGACTGAGTCTTTTATGCGATATATGCCAAATAATTTAATTAAGAATTCTTTTTATTCCCAAAATATTGCTGGGCATGGAGCAAAGGAGACAAATTTCTCTAGTTTTAAAACATCAACAACTATGTGAGCATTAAGGGTCAGCAGCCTCAAAGGTCAACCAAATACTCTTAAACTCTGTTGATCCAGGTGGTTTTTAATCAGTGGGGACACCAAAGCAGTTCAATCTCAAACAATTATAGCCTTAATTCAGACTACAGGGAAAAGGCCCTCAGGGCATCTCCTGACTCCCAGCCTTTGCATATAAAGAACATTCAACAACACCGCCCCAAGACAGAGGTCAGGGATGGAACTTGGGTTTCAAACAAAAACACAGGATTGGACAATGAACAATATTCCAAACAAACATAGATGTACAGTGTTTTCTGTAAGACAAGACATTTTGATTTGCTTCTTGGTGCTCAATGTAAATGAAAACCCAGGTCGTGGGAGAGTCCTTTTCCAGGGCCATGCAGCTAGTCTTGAAGACACATGATGATGGGTGAGAGAGAGAGAATGATGAGAAGAAGATGATGGGCTGCAGATGACAGTGAGGGCGCTTCTTACCCTGTCCCTGGCCTCCCACTCCTGTCTCAACTCAAGAACGCTCTGTCAGACCTCAGCTTTCATTTGGAGAAAGGGAAGAGCTTCAAGTATCACCTGCTAGATTCTCACCTCCCACTATTCCATGCAGCACAAGGCAGCTTTCACTAAGGTTTACCCAGCTGATGGGTGTCTCTCCATTCTAAGGTGTGACAAATATTGGAAAGGCTCCCAGTAGGCTGATCTTTCAGCTGGGTATAGCCCATACACAGAGATATAAAACTCAAAAAGCCCTGGTCAGACTAGGGGCTTCATGGAGGAAATATTATAATAAGGCAAGTAAAACTTAGCCTTATTCTAAGTATCTATCTGTCACCAATGACATATAATAATCATACTAAATAAAAAATAAAACCATATATTTTGGCTACATAATCAAATGTGAAAGTAAGGCAAATTGTGCAAAATGAAGCCCTTGCATATGCAGATAATCTTGAATTGGGCAGTAAGGGAAAGCCGCTGAACTGGTTTTTCCTAATACTGGTTTTCAGACCTGGGCTCCCACTGTAAAGTTTCCGCAGGCGTCTTACTCAACCTGCACCTCTCACATCTTGAACCTCCTGTTAATGAAGAACAGAGTGAAACACCATTAAGGCACAAATCAACCAGCAAACATGTCTTCCTCCAGGGTCTGCAGGATATAGCTGCCACATCAGAGATGGTGGAGCCTCCTGTTCCAACAAAAGCAGCTGCCAGAGAAGCCACATTGTGTTACCCTCCCCCCCACCACACACACACATTATAGTACTTCAAAACTGCATGCCATGCTTCTCCATTCACAGGCCCTTCAGAACAGAATGGAAGGGCGATGGGAAGAAAAGGCCACCACAGAAGCAGAGAGAAGAATGGGATTAAGGTAGGAAAAGCAAAGACATGGACACAACAAGCTTAAAGGGTGGGCTACAAAGGACAGCATGAAGATAAGATTGTGACAGCTCACATCAAATAACAAGACACAGAGACAATGACTTAAAATATATATACAGTGCATTTTTTTTTTAGGGTTGAAGATGTCCACTGCCATAAGAAATTATATAAATAGCCACGGAAACTAATACTTACACCAAGCTGAGAGGCCAGTGAGCGGCTGGGCTTCTATCCTGGATAGTCTTGCATCCTAGAGCTTGGTTTGTTCAGCCCTGCGAGCTGAGTTTCTGAAAGTCTCCCATAAAAGACAGACTTCTAATTGCTTCCCACCACCAAAATTTATAGTCATGTTTTAGATGATGTGAGTGACTGTCACCAAGCCTCACCAAGTAGTCCAGCATCCTGGAAGAATAGGAAGTCCCACAAGACACCATGACAGGATTATTTTCTATCTTGCCTCAGGAATCATGTTCAGGTTTAATATCCAATCAGGTTTTGGTTTCACCACAACCCTGGTCAATTCAGGGATATTGGGGCACTCATAATTTTTAAATTTCACAAGCCACTGGTCAAGATGCAGTGAGTCCCCAGAGGCTAGGCATGGTCAGGGGAGTCATGAACAAACAGGGTGGGAACTTCACTGCATCTCTGCCCCTGAGGCTGCCTGATTGTCCTCACAGCATGGCTCCCAAGCTGAATGTTCAATTTGTCATCTCAGTATAGCATAAATTCAGCCACTGTGGCTAGAGGGTAAACAATTTACTCAGTACAGTGCTCCCAAGATGGACCAGCCACCCTATTTAAGGCGCAGAGCAATGCTGCTTGTTCTGTCTGAAGAGTGAAAAACTGAGGCAAAACAGGGTGGCTGGGGAATATGGATATTATCCTCCTCCTGGGCTATTTTGTAAGTTTAAGACTACCCCAGCCTAGGCCTATGAGGCAGAAATTCAACTGCCTTCCATAGGAGATGTGGGGACAACCATTAGGGTGGATGAGGAAAGGAGGGCCTGCAGAGCTGCGTACCTCTCCATGCACGGAGGTCCAATCACTGGCACCAAGTTGATAAGAGGGGCACAACTTGGAGAGCTACCTGGGTCAGAAAGATGGCAGCAGGAACCAATGCCCTTCAGTGAGTGCAGTGCCTTGAGCACTTTTTTAGTGAAGAAAAAGTCTTGTCTTTAAGTGCCTAACATTGTAGCCGTAGCAGTGCACACAGAACAGGAAGGGATGCACACCACAGAACCTGAAACTCAGGTCAGCAACTTGATGATTTAGTTGCTCCTGAAATCCCTCTGCTTCTTCCCCCAATCACTGTTCTTTACAACCATTTAGCACAATTAGGATCAAGGGTACAGGGTATAAGGGGTAACCATATGCTTAGTGGGAGGAAGGAGAGTCAAGTAATTTAAAGGGTCTTTTGAAAGCATGGATGAAGTCCAAGCTTCTCTCACTTTCCCACCGTCTCCCTCTCATTTTCCAATACAGGGGCTGCCACACAAATCAGAGAAGCTTGTCAAAAATATCACTCTCAAGCATAAGTCCACAGGCATGGAGGTGCATTCTAAAACTTAAATGGCATTCACGTTAGGTAGTTGTTTCCCATGAGTGAGGGGTAAAGACCTGAGGCAACTGTGTCTGGAGCCTATTGCACAGTCTTAGAGACCCTCCCAACGCAGGGACCCCATGTTAAATAATCTGCAAGAATTGCTCAGAAGAAAGGCTCCCTGAGAAACATTTCCACATTGGCTCTCAAATCAATCTCAGGTCACAATCCTGTTCACTACTAGCAGACTCATTAAGTCCATGCTTGGAGGTGGACACAGTCATACAGAGAAGTAGAGTTAACATTCTGTCCCTTGAATCATGACAAAGTGAGGGAGGGGCCGGGTAGAGATAGATATTGAGAAAGCTAAGGCCAGGTACTAAGGGCTGAGTACACTATGCCTACAATGGTACTGCTACCACTCATCCTCTGAAAGCAGTGAGACCTGCAAGGAAGTGAGTGAGATAGCCTTCACATTGGGCCCTAGAATATAAGCTGCAAGTTCCTGGTGTTGTATACGAGCCCAGATACCACCTGCTCAGTATATTGTGGGTCACGTGGGTCACTCTAGACATTCATGAGCCAGCTGCAGCCTCTGTGTCCTAGATTTCATTTCCATCTCTGTATAAGTACTTTCTTCACAATTTAGCAGACTGAAAACATTGTGTCAGAAAGCTCATAAGTACACCAGCCAGGGTGGCCATGAGCATGCTCCCACCAAGGAAGTTTGAGCACCTGCCCCAAAAGGTAAGTGATCGCTGGGGAAGGTGGGTTGGAGCCAATTTACAAGCACTTGGAGAGACAAGAGCAGAGCACACTGTAGTCCATCTCGGTGTGGCAGATAACTAGTTTTTCCTTTTCTGAGCAGCCTTTCTCTTCTTCTGTCGCTTCTTTTTTCCTATCTTTTCTTTTTTCCCCACTTTTTCTTCTCTGCGCCCCCTTAGATAAAATCAGTAGAACCATTAACAATGTAGAAATAAACAAGAGTTCCTCTCAGTCTGCAAAAGGTTTAACCCTGGCCCCAAGACACTGTGCATCAGTAATTTGTTCAAGAAAATTCCCCCAATTAAAAAAAAGTTAACTGGGCATCCATCACACATCATGAACTAATTACTGCAATTTGCCCAGCTGACCCTGCTATGATTCCTGCTATGTCCTGCAGCTTCTAAAACATTGCACAAGACAGTACAGGCCTGGACTAGGTTTTCTGTTCCAATCACCCATCTTGTCAAGTAGGGATTCCTTCTAAAGAGCCAGCCTTCTCAATGCAGTGTTGAACTCTCTTCTTTGTCTGAAAATAACCTCCATATTGCAGATTGAAGAAAACCTGAGGTTCAGCCAGATAGCCAGCTAGGACAGGAGAAAGAAGACAACCTGATCCCACCTCCTCCTTCCTGGATGACTACATGGCTACCTCCTGGGAAAGACTGGGATTGCTCTAGAGAGCAAGGGATAGAGGTGGTTAGCAGAATCTTATTAGAGCATTTGACTCATGGTTGTCATATTAAAATGAATCAAGCTGAATTGTATTTAGTGATTTATGGGGTGAAGTCACTCGTTCCTATGAAAACTGGACATGAACCATGGCAGTCATCAGTTTTTTACATGGGAGAATGTGAAAGTTGAATATTACTAAGGCTGAGTCTCTGGGGATTACATAGGATGTTAGGAGAACCAAAGAAAAGGAAGGGGAAGAGGGATTAGTGAATCAAACATTACTCTTCAGATAACCAGCACTGCCAGTTCCACTGTGGTGGGTGAATCACAAAAACTTGAGCAAAAAATCTAATCTGCTCATCAGAAAAGCTCTAGTCCTTGACCAAAAGAATATATGACACCCGACTAGCAGGCCAGCGTTAGGTTTTGTAACATTCCGAGGTGTGTATGAGCTCCATTTCTACAAATTGATGAGGCCATGTCAGGTAAATAAAGTCCCACATACAGTAGGAGGTTTATATCATCAAACAGTTAGCATTTTATTGCTAGTGCATATCAGGAAATATTGGATACAATTTTATTACAAGTGAAAAAATATACCATGACTAACATTATACATCTGCATTCACATTTTATGTATATATCTTTACAAATTGCCAGTCGTTTCAGGTAATAGAGAAACATAACATCCTGGCATTCATATGGCTTCTCTTCAAATATATGAATTGTAGGAATATAAATATATTCTGAAGTACATTTGTTTTCAAAAGAAAAAAAACGTTCACAAAAATATATACTTTTAAAAAGAAATGTCTTCCCCAAAGTTACAAATACCACTAGGACCATCTGTGAATTCCATTTATACATAAAGATTTCATCTTGCCAGTATTTCTTATTGGAACCTGAGAACCCTATTGTATATTTATTTACTTGTTTATTTTTCACTTCTGATTTCAGAAATGTCAGAATTTATGAAGCCTCCATGGCATACATATGCTTCCACCAGAGGCAATCACAGAAGCCCAATTTTTCAAAGCAAACTCTCAAATTCAAAATTACATTTTATTCTGCAAAGACTTGTCTTCTATGATAAAGTAGGCACAAGACCTCATCTCCATTCTAAGAGAAGACCCAGAAGGATCTCACAGAGGGCCCACAGAGGATGGGTAGACAAAGAAAGGAGAGTGATCATGAGTGAGACTCATGATCTTCCTCCTCTTTGCCCATGTGGTAATTGTTCAGGGTATAGAAATTAGAAGCAGAAGTGAGAGATAAGAAGCAGAAGCTCTTTGGGTAAGGGGTGGCAAAGGAATGACAAGGAAAGGTTCTCTGAGCACAGTTCTCAATGTTAGGAGCTTATGCAAGAGTCACAGATCCAATCATTGGACTTGACAAAGGAGGGAGACTAGAGGTTTTTGCCTAATCTTGACTATATGGGGACAATTCCAGAACAGGTGCCCCTTCAGGAGCAGCCAACAACTCTTTCTTCAGCACTCAGTGTCTGTCACCTTTTTGAGCTCCTGGTTTGACTGTTGGAGCCCTGTTGATGGAGTGGGTGGCTTGTTGAGCTGCTAATCTCAGGCCAGCAGGTCCAACCCACCAGTTACTTTGTGGAAGAAAGATGAGGCTTTCTTCTCCCTTAAAGATTTACAGCCCTGGCAATCTAAAGATGCAGTTCTGCTCTGCCCTGTAGTATTATAATGAATCCTGACTATTGAATTGGAATTGACTTAGTGTCAGTGGGTTGAGTTGGTTTGATTGTCATCTGACTGTGCTCAGAGACTCTCCATGTAAAAAGAATAGAAGCTCCAAAAGGGATTTTGAGTAATCAGTGATTTTTAAAATTATTATGAATGATTATCATGAGAAATCTGACTAATTAAAGATACTGTAGTACAATATCTTAGAGAAATCTTAGTTAAAAAGATCCTATGTACAAGAGAATGGGATATAGATGGATACAAGCTGCATGGATATAAGCTGCATGGATACAAGCTGCAATATTGTACTATAGACACAGGTGTTTCAACAAAGGGCAAAACTCAAGCCCATTCCCAAATCAGTGTTTTATCCCACAGGCACACCTGGTCCTTACAATTCAGACCTTCCCCCACACCTTTGCCTTTTTGATTTTCATATTATTTTAACTCTCCTCAAGTAGATCTAGTGGAAAGTCCTTTTGGCTGTTGTGCTTACTTGTTTAAAGCTTTCTCCAGGTATTCTTGAATCCATTTTAACTTTGGATCAATGCAAACTTGTCTATTGTTGTTCTTCAACCTTGCCCTGCCAAAACAAAAGAGGCAATAGTACACAGGTGAGCAGAATAAGGCAAGGCCACAACTTGTGCATTTGCTCATTGGGCATGCATTTTAGACCTCTTGCCAATGCCAGAGGTTCCATTTGCTAGGGTTCTGGAGGCACTCAGGAGCTATTGGAAAGCCACAATATTAATAATGTGGTAAGCTTCGCGACAGAGACACAGCAAAAGTGAAAAGCCTTACAGGGAAGTCCAGGGAGAATTCATGTAAGGAAACCTTCAAGCTGAGCCTTGAAGGAAGAAGAGGGTTTTCACAAGTAAAGAGAAATTGCAGCTGCACAATATGCAAAAATGATGAAGAATGAGAGACTGGATATTCACAAAGGTGTGGCCACATACTAAGGGGCTTTGGAGGTCCTGTGAAGGAATTAGCAGATGAAAGAAAGGAAAACTTCAGAAAGTTGCAACTTTCCTGTCATCTGGAGTGCTTCAGCTTTTCAGAATGGAGACATCTCCAGGAGACAAAGAGCCCTCAGTCTTGCTCATTGCTGGACACACATCTCCTGTTTGTATTTATCCTGTATGTGCAAACACATGTACAGAGGCCGCGCACATGAGCAGCTCCGTGTGGCTTTCTCTTTGCCCTGCTTGCAGCATCCTATTCCCCAGACGAGATATTTCATGTTTCATTTATGTGTGATTTTGGTCCATTTTGTTTCCCATACAAATGAAAATCAAATGTTAACACTTGCAATGAAAAACAAAACTCTTGTGGTATTTGAAAATACAGAGGTAAGAGAGTTACAAATGATGACATTTCACTACATGGTTAAAGATGAACTGAATTTATACCTTGTAAGGTTTTGTTACATCACATTAGAGCATGGCTTTGAATTTGTTCTTCCCAGTTGAATCATGGCCTACCAAGTAAAACTGGAATGTAAACGAATTTGTAAAGTGTGGGTAAACTGAAACAGTAACTGGAATGGGAAAATATTGGGTCAATGCCCTGTTAGAAACTTAATCTGCCTCTTAAACAGGAGAGTATGTAAAAACAGTGCTCAGCTCAAAGATGGTGGCTAACTTCTTAGCTTTGTATATGCATTACTCTTTATATTCCTGGCAATAATCCAATCTCCCAATCAAGTTTCTGCAATTGCTCACTAAACTTTCCATTTCCAAGCCTCACATTCCAGGGGTTCAACTTGTCATTTTTCCTGTTCTATTATCATCCATTTCACAAAAATTTAAATGTAGGGTCTTTTCTGATTTTGCTTCATTGGTCACAACTAACCTGCTTCACACCAATTCAAAGCCCCAAGTTAAAGCCCCCAAAGCCTGAAACAGCCAGGAAAATATAGCCATTACTAGCACATGGTTGTCTTAGGCAGTGGTTTTGGGCAGAGGTTTGAGAAAGTCTATGATTTCTTTAGTATAGATACATCCAGGCATCCAGTTGTGCTACCAATCTGTGCTAGAGGAAGAAAGCCTTGAGAAGTCCAAAAATGGTCCCTATGATTGTGGCCAGTTGCCAAGGGCAACAATGGCTTTTGAAACTCCTATAAGTACTCATAGTAATAATACTGCTATTGTCATTAATTGCCATCAAGCTGGCCCCATGCACTTCATGGAATGCTTCCTATTCTCATTGGTAACAGCATTCTCTAAGTATGCCAAGAGTCTCTAGTGGCACAAATGGTTTAGTGCTTGGCTATTAACAAAGAGGTTGAAAGTTCAAATACACTCAGAGGCACTTTGGAAGAAAAGTCTGTTGGTCTATTTCCTAAAGATAAAAACCCTGTGGAGTGAAGTTCTACCCTACCACACATGGGGTCACCATGAGTCAGGACAAACTGTATGGAAGCCAGTTTTGTTTGGGGTATAATCATGCCAAGTTCAAAATTGCCAAAAGGCAGATAACATTCCTATATACTTAATAACTCTGTGAATTACATGTCAATAAACCTATTAGATTCAGCATCTCTAGCAAATGATATTCAAGCTTTTCACAATCTATATTACTCATCCATAATAAAAAACACAGCCCTGATACATGCCATCACATGGATGAATCTTGAAAACACAAATGCTGAGTGAAATTGCTCACAAAAGACCATATACTATATGATTTCATTCACATGACATGCTATTATATAGAAACCAAAGTTTATTAGTGGCTAGCAGGGATTGGAAGGAAGGAGAACGAGGGAGTTTTTGCTTAAGGGATATTAGGATTTTATGTTAATTGTGGTGGAATAGCAAAACTGGCTACACAGCTTGAACAATGTAATCCATGTCACTGAAAGGTATGCATACATGTGGAAATGTTTGTATTGGTAATGGTTTTGTTGTGTATATTTTCCTAATTCAAAGAAACATTAAAAAAAAAAGACTTACACAATCTGAAGGGCACAGTTTGGAGTGTTGAGAATTTTGAGATGCTTGACATTGGCTCTGGCAACGTGACTCTCAAAGAAACGGCATGGGCATCTGTAGCTCAGGCTGACAGGTTTCCCTAGAAGAGTTAATAAGAAAAAACAACAACTTGTTATCCTGTCAAGCTTTGGAGACCCAGGAAGGGCTAGGTCTGATGAACTAAACATATTTTCTTGAAAAGACCAACTGCTTGGGCAAGTACATTCTGGGTGAGACTCAGACTGTACAGAGCAGGGAGATTAAAGTACCTCAGGGTACTAGATGGGGTGGGAGATTAAAGGAAGAAGATATCTTTTAAAGTATCACAAGATAAAAGCAGTAATTAAATGAAGAAAAAAAGCAGTAATTGGAGCAGGTTTTAGTTTAGTCAAAGGTACTTCTCACTGCCACTGGAGTTAATACCAACTCATGATTCTATAGAACAGGGTAGAACTGCCCCTGTGAGTTTCCCAGACTGTAGCTTTAAAAAAAAAATCATTTTATTGGAGCTCTTAGAGATATTATAACAATCCACAATTCAATTACATCAAGCATAATTGTACAATTGCTTCCACCAAAACCTTATCTTTTTATTTATTTATTTCTTTATTTTATTTTTTAGACCTTATCTTTTCTCCTCAGAACAGCTGGTGGTTTCAAACTGCTGACCTTGCAGTTAGCACTCCAACTCATAACCCTATGCCACCAGGGCTCCTCAAAGGTACTTAGCTTCCCAGTTTTATTTTGCAAAATTAACTCTTCCAGGAACAAATGGGAAAGATATTTACTCTCAGAGGAGGGGCAAGAGGAGACCCCATCCAATCTCTTACCCCTCTTTCTCTCCTTCCTCCTGGACAATTCCATCTCAGGAGGGATCCGCGTAGCTCCCAGGAATGCTACCCTCCCCCACTTGCAGCTCTTCCTTCTAGTTTTCTTCCTAAACCTGCCTCTAGCCTAGAGAGCAGGCAGAGAATCCACTCCCCCCCTAGCACTTTCTCGAAGGCAGGTAGATTAGTCAGGCTCCAGTCAAATGTGGCTTTCTTTTGTGTCATGATGCTGCCTGCGATCCCTCGGATTTTATTAAAACCTTTGTTTGCCAATTCACCAATTTGCAAAATGCCATAATTGACAATCGTTAGTGTAAATTAGCAAGGGCTCCAGCAAAACTCACCTTTTGGGTCTAGCATTGCAAAACCTGGGGGCTAGGATATTGCAATTTTATAGAGAGCCTGTTTAATTCCCCAAATTACTATAATTTACTGATCCTTTCATCAGGGATTAAATGTGTGTCTGAGCATATTTAGTCCAGAGAGTTTACAACCCTCTCTCAGAAGCCTCAAGTTCTTTAAGTTTTGTGCATTTGGGAAGCCACTCACATCAATGAGAATGAAGGATTTACCTTTTGGTAATGGCTGATTTCAGTTAATGGATGCTACGGACAGCATCATATTCAGCCTCCAAATCAGGAGAAAACCAGACTGTTGTGTCCTACAGGACCAAAGCTACAGTGAAAACCAGGAGAAAGACCTTTTCAATGTACTCAGTGAATTCGGACTGGGATACACAAACAGCAAGTCACTAGTGGGGCCCAGCTTCTAGCAACTGCACCAGAGGCCCTGCAGGGGAAATCAGGACTACAGTTGTAACCAGATCACCTGGGAAAGCAACCAGGCTGCTGGCTGGGGCCAGTCCTCAGTAATCAAGGAGTCATCTTTCCAAGTCTCCCCTCTTTGTAAGTATTTTACCCCAGGGTTTCCTTGCATTTTACACAGTTCTTCCCTGAGCTGAAGTTGGCAAGGACCCAGAGGTGAAGCAAGGAAGGATCCCAACCACAGAGCAACCTTGAGCTCTGCTACTCTGGTGTCAGAAAGCAGCAGTCTGAGATCAGGCTAGAAATCAGAGCCCACTCCCAGCTCAAAACAAGCTGCGGTTCTTTCTCTCTTCATCACCACAGGGATTATCCATTTCCTTCCAAAGCAGTTTGTAGTCCTGCTGCCAGGGGTTCAGTCAAGTGGGAGAATTTCAATGTTTTTGTCTTTTTTTTTTTTTTTTAAAGAACAGAGTGCATAGGTGCTCTCATCAAAAACAAAACTTGGTGCTGTGTACACCTAGCATCGTTTCCTCCAGCTTTCTGTCAATATTATTGTCTTTTCCAACCATTTTGGATGTTAGTCAATGTAGTCAAGATGCTTGACTGGATTCAGAGGAACTCTACTCTCCTGACCCTTATGCACCTTCCAGAACTGGTTCCCAAAGCTGTTCCCAGAGAGCCTTCCTGCCCGGACCACCACCTACCAACCCCTTCCAACAAGGCCTGGAAATGTGGCTGACCCTTGGACTGAACCCAGGAAAGTCTAGGGTAACCAAGGGCCCAGGAGCTTGGTCAGGGCAGACAATGGGGGTAGAGCAGGAGCCCTAGCCTGAGACTCTGCATGATAGCTTTGGGAAGCGACTGACTATAGAACACAGGAGCTCCCATTATCCATCACCGTTGAGTTGATTCTGACTCTAATAGCCCTATGGGACAATGTGGAACTGCCTCATAGGGTTTCCAGTATTGTAGATATTTACAGAAGCAAACGACTTCATCTTCCTCCCTGTGGAGTAGGTGGCAGCTCAATGCTTAATACACTGTGCCATTAAGACTTCTCCAGGAGGTAAAGGAAAAATGAAGGGAGGTTAAGTCAAGCTGAGCCCAGAAATGTTGTGTATGGGGAAATGATTGCTCTGCAACTTTTCAGAGGACACCCTGCGGGCCTCGGTACTACCTCCCCTCTAGGAAATGGGCCCTGCAGTAACCCTTTGCTAGTAGCTTTCTGGAGGATGCATTTAAAGAGAACCAGACATACCGAAGCCATAGTAACCCTTGCCAGATCCCACAATTGTCAGTGCCCAAAGCAGAGTACCCAGGCCAACAATTTCCTATGTATTTAGGGAGACCTCGCTGGACAGCCAGGCATCACCTGGGTTATCACAGCCCCTCCTGCCCACTCCTTGCCCTACCTAGGACTGTTTCCAGTCTGTGCCCTGCCCGGTCAGAGGGGCAAGATCTATGGCCCAAATTCAGTTCAGCATTTGGAAGCGCTGCACAGACGGCGGTTGTACCAAGAGAACTCAAAATGTCTTTCAACCGTTTGCTTTGTTTGTTTTTCCGTTTTTAACAGAAAATTAGCAGCCGAGAAAAGGCCTGCTAGACATGGCTTTGTTTGGGGCTCAGAGGCAAGAGTTTATTTTGGTTTGCAGCAGTAGCGTCCTTAGATAGAGCAGCGAGATTTCTCTTCAGCATCAAGAAAAGGAAAGAAAGCCTTCTCCCTCTCACAGTGAAACTGGATACCACCTCCCAGTGGCCCAAAGCCTTGGTGATTGAACTTTGTTGCAATGTTCCTCAGGCAGACGGAGCGCTGGGCCCAGTGACAAAGGCTCGTTTGCAGGTGGGTTTGGGGGCTGGGCTGGGGTGTGCTGATGCACAGGGCTCCTAGGCCCCTCTCCCCTTGACCTGGGAAGGCCAGGAGGGGGAAGGGAATCCAAGGGCTGTGCAGAAGGGCGGCTGGGACAGTTGCGCAAGCCTGACAGCTGTGCAGTGTGGTCTGGCTG